TTTAGTGGGACTTACAAGCCATCTTTAGTCCCCTGGTCAAGACTTCACCAGAACCACTGTACCTCTTCAAAAGCCAAATTTGGATGAAGAGGGCAGATGTCCTAAAACTTGTAAGTAGAGACATGGACATGACATTGGCTGTACTGGTGCCTGCAGACCTTCTTGTTCTTTTGAGGTCATAGTGGTAGTTACAGAGCCTTGAAAGTATTCATACTTCTTGAACTTTTCCACATTTTGTCATGTTACAACCAAAAACATAATGTATTTTATTGGGATTTTATGTGACTTTGTGTTGGTCTACAATACAACATCCCAATAAAATACATTCATGTTTTTGGTTGTCACATGACAAAATGTGGAAAATTTCAAGAGGTATGAATACTTTTTCAAAGCACTGTATCCTTAGGATGACTCTGAGGATTTCAATCATTGTGTTTTATCCTCCAGTAAACTCTTTGTTTCGGCTTTTGAAGGTTGCTTCTGGTTGAGGTCTATCCTGAAGGTTTCAGAGTATGAAAAATATGAAATTTTAATGTTGATTTACAAGATCCATTTTAGTTTATTGTTATTTCCTGCACTATCCAGTGCTCTCTGTTTTTATTGATTTCCAGTGCCTATAGGCACAAGCTTACTGTGCCCAATGGGGACTCTACCTGTCATCTGTCCTTTATACCACAAAAAGTCCAAAAGAGTAACTAAGATAAATCTGTCAGTAAAGTTAAAGCTACGCATCAAATATAACCACAACAATAAAGATTTGACTTTACTTTAATCCTGACAATAGTGACAAATGTGCAGGAACCTCCAAGGTGACAGTACCCTCAGGGTCACTATTCTTGTCAAGCAGTCCTTGGCTGGGGAAGGGGGGGATGTGAGATGTCATTTCAGAGCCAGGCACAGTCGTCTCCGGTTCAGATCTGCCGGCTCAGTAAAGTCGAAGGTTTTACGTAAAGCTGTTGCCCCCTCGGAGGTTTATTGGAGGGATCAACTTGCGCTCGAAGCTTTGTGCGGTTCACAGACCTCAACTGCGATGATGGACAGATCCGAGAAGAGAGGGAGTGGGGGCAGGGAATTAGATGAAAAGGTCATACTACAGAAAAGATAGAAAATGTTCTCATTACTTCATTTAAAGGACCAGCCTGTCTAGAAAAAACATCATAGTCTTTTTTTTCAGATATACAATACATGTAAAAAAGTCCACTTAAACCTAAAAATTAAAGCTCAAAGTGATGCTATAGGTAAAATATGTATTTTTAAAAAATAAAAAACATGTCATATGGCTCCCAGCGCTGCATCTCTGTCCAGTGAGGAGAGAGAGAGTCCAAAGAAATCCTACTCTCGTGCACTTCGCTGGATCGAGATAGGGCTCAGGTAAGTATTTGTGGGGGGGTGCATGCAGAAGGTTTTTTTACCTTAATACATAGAGTGCATTAAAGTACACAAAATTCTGCCTTTATAACCACTTTAAGTTCAATCTGCTCATATGGCTGTTATGTCATTCCCTAAATCCCATCAGTAAAGTGCAGCAAATCTACTTTTATGTGCGGAGACTCCTTCCTTGGGATATAAAGGTCAATGGCTGGGAATGTCATGTGGAGGCCTCTGGCATGGAGTGGGGAGCAATATGGTGGAGAGTTTGGCTTCAGCAGGAGGTGCAGTGTTCTAACAGGACTTCTGCTATTGGCACCAACCATTAAACCCCAGAAAACACTAAACAGCTCATCCACTCCCTCATCATATCACGACTCGACTACTGCAACTCCCTCCTCACTGGCCTGCCTCGCCGCTGGCTATCACCGCTTCAGTCGATCCTGAATACGGCTGCCAGACTCATTCACCTTTCCAACCACTCTGTTTCCGCCACCCCTCTCTGCCAATCCCTCCACTGGCTTCCGATTGCACAACGGATCAAATTCAAAATCCTAACTCTGACGTACAAAGCTGTCCACCATACTGCCCCGAACTACATCACTGACCTAATATCCAAGTACCACCCAACACGCACACTCCGCTCCTCACAAGACCTCCTTCTCTCTAGTTCCCTGGTCTCCTCCTCCCATGCCCGTCTCCAGGACTTCTCCAGGGTGTCACCCATCCTCTGGAACTCCCTGCCCCAACCCATCAGATTATCACCTACTCTCCTCTCCTTTAGGCGCACCCTGAAAACCCATCTCTTCAGGGAAACCTACCCCACCCATTGCTAACTTGCCGACCTCCTCCACTCTTCCTACCACTCCATCCCCCACAGCTATCTCTCCTCCTGTACCACCATCCCCTCCCTCCCAGATTGTAAGCTCGAAAGAGCAGGGCCCTCGATCCCCTCATATTTTGCATTGTATTGGTATTGTTCTGTCACATGTTCTGTCTCCCTTTGTAATGTACAGCGCTGAGCGAACTATTGGCGCTTTATAAATACTGTATAATAATAATAATAATAATAATACACAATTTTCAGATTTATTAAATTCACTTCAAAAAGATATGTTTTTAATAGTTTTTTTTCCATTGGTACTGTCAGGGCTCCCAGGTGTGACCAGAGGTGTGTGGCTGACGCAGGGAAACGCAGACCTCAGATATGTTATAAACAATATAATTTATTAACACTAACAATACAAACATAAACGCAGTGCAATACTAAAACATAATACAGTGCAACCAAACCAAACCAACCACCCACAGATAACAGTACATACAAGCAAGCGTCGTCAGGCAGGCCGGGTCAATATCAATAGGGCAGGTAGGTACAGGGGGAGCAAGCGGAGATTGGTCGGGGTCACAGGCCAGGTTCAGCAGGTAGCAAGCAGCGTAGTACAGAGGGTCAGGCAGAGGGATGGTCAGGGTCACAAGCCAGGGATCAGAACAGGTAGCAAGCAGCGTGGTACAGAGGGTCAGGCAGAGGGATGGTCAGGAGCGAGCCGGGATCAGAGCAGGAGAAGTCAGCAGCGGTTCAGAAACAGGATGCAGGACAGAAACAGGATACAGGGCCCAGGACAAACACAACACCAAGGCAGAGTCTGTGGGTCTGGCCATCCCTTAAATACCCCAGCATAATCAGTTCCAGGTGTTAGCTGGCTGCAAAGTTGAGTTGATTGCTGGGAGCATCCGCTGGCCAGCCCTGGTACTGCAGATCAAAAGGCAGGTGAGTCCCACCATTGCTGGCCAGTCCATTCCTGACAGTACCCCCCCCCCTCAAGGAGCGGCCTCAGGACGCTCCAAACAGTCCTAGCTGGGAAAAATGTTCCACCACCCGGGTCTGGTAACTGGCGGGATATCAAAGACTGGCACACCGGGCAGGACTCCGGGCAGTGGTACACCGGGCAGAGGCACATCGGGCTGGACTCCGGGCAGAGGCACACCGGGCAGAGGCACATTGGGCTGGACTCCGGGCAGAGGCACATCGGGCTGGACTCCGGGAAGAGGCACACCGGGCTGGACTCCGGGCAGAGGCACACCGGGCTGGACTCCGGGCAGAGGCACACCGGGCTGGACTCCGGGCAGAGGCACACCGGGCTGGACTCCGGGCAGAGGCACACCGGGCAGAGGCACATCGGGCTGGACTCCGGGCAGAGGCACACCGGGCTGGACTCCGGGCAGAGGCACACCGGGCAGAGGCACATCGGGCTGGACTCCGGGCAGAGGCACACCGGGCTGGACTCCGGGCAGAGGCACACCGGGCTGGACTCCGGGCAGAGGCACACCGGGCAGAGGCACATCGGGCAGAGGCACATCGGGCTGGACTCCGGGCAGAGGCACATCGGGCTGGACTCCGGGCAGAGGCACATCGGGCTGGACTCCGGGCAGAGAGGCACATCGGGCTGGACTCCGGGCAGAGGCACATCGGGCTGGACTCCGGGCAGAGGCACATCGGGCTGGACTCCGGGCAGAGGCACATCGGGCTGGACTCCGGGCAGAGGCACATCGGGCTGGACTCCGGGGCAGAGGCACATCGGGCTACCAGGCGAAGCAGCAGGCAGCGGGCCACCGGGCGGGGCGGCAGGCACCGGCCCCCGGGCGGGGCGGCAGGCACCGGGCCCCCGGGCGGGGCGACAGGCCTCGGGCCCCCGGGCGGGGCGACAGGCCTCGGGCCCCCAGATGGAGCGACAGGTCTCGGGCCCTCAGGCGGAGCGCCGGACGCCGGACCCCCAGATGGAGCGACAGACCTCGGACCCCCAGGCGAGGCGACAGGCATCGGACCCCCAGGCGGGGTGACAGGCATCGGACCCCCAGGCGGGGCGACAGGCATTGGGCCCCCAGGCGGAGCGGCGGGGGCGCCGGACCCCCAGGCGGAGCGGCGGGCGCCGGACCCCCAGGCGGAGCTACAGGTCTCAGGCCCTCAGGCGGAGCGGCGGGCGCCGGACCCCCAGATGGAGCGACAGGTCTAGGGCCCTCAGGCGGAGCGGCGAGCGCCGGACCCCCAGATGGAGCGACAGGTCTCGGGCCCTCAGGCGGAGCAACAGGTCTCAGGCCCCAGACGAAGCGGCGGGCACCGAGTCACCAGGCACGACAGTGGGCACCGAGTCGTCTGGCAAGACTGCGGGCACCGAGTCAACTGGCGGAACAGCGGGCACCGAGTCGTCTGGCAAGACTGCGGGCACCGAGTCGTCTGGCAAGACTGCGGGCACCGAGTCGTCTGGCAAGACTGCGGGCACTGAGTTGTCTGGCAAGACTGCGGGCACCGAGTCGTCTGGCAAGACTGCGGGCACCGAGTCGACTGGCGGAACAGCGGGCACCGAGTCGTCTGGCAAGACTGCGGGCACCGAGCCAACTGGCGGAACAGCAGGCTTCGAGTCGTCTGGCAAGCCTGCGGGCACCGAGTCGTCTGGCAAGACTGCGGGCACCGAGTCGTCTGGCAAGACTGCGGGCACCGAGTCGTCTGGCAAGACTGCGGGCACCGAGTCAACTGGCGGAACAGCGGGCATCGAGTCAACTGGCGGGACTGCGGGCACCGAGTCGTCTGGCAAGACAGTGGGCTCCGAGTCAACAGGCACGACAGTGGGCACCGGGTCATCAGGTATGACAGCGGGCACTGGGTCACCAGGCATCAGGTCATTTGGCTTGCCAGCGGGCACCGCGTCATCTGGCAAGGCAGTGGGCACCGGGTCACCAGGTATGACAGCGGGCTCTGAGTCAATTGGCACGACAGCGGGCACTGGATCAGGTACCGGATCATCTGGATCAACAGCGGGCATCGAGTCAACTGGCCTAATAGGATCGTCGGGCTGGATCAGTTCATCATGCTGAGTAGCGGCATCAGGCTGAATGCAGGCATCAGGCTGAGTAGAGGCATCAGGCTGAGTAGAGGCTTCAGGCTGAGTAGAGGCTTCAGGCTGAGTAGAGGCTTCAGGCTGAGTAGAGGCTTCAGGCTGAAGAGAGGCATCAGGCTGAAGAGAGGCATCAGGCTGAAGAGAGGCATCAGGCTGAAGAGAGGCATCCGGCTGAAGAGAGGCATCCGGCTGAAGAGAGGCATCCGGCTGAAGAGAGGCTTCAGGCTGAGTAGAGGCTTCAGGCTGAGTAGAGGCTTCAGGCTGAGTCACGGAAGGCAGGTTCACCGGTTTGGATACTGGCAGGATGGTATTGGTTGGAAAGAATTTTCGCTTTTTTCTGGTTTTAACTACTGGAGCACTGCAAGTAAACGCAGGTCTGCAAACGAATGGAGCAGCTGGAGACAGAAAAAACTGGAGGATGGAACAGGAGAGGGAGCAGTTGCTACAGAGGGCTTTTTTACAGGGTTAAAGGCAGGATAGGTGCAGCGAGTGGGAACAGGGTACTGACATGCGGTAGATAGCCAAGTATACTGGGCTGTAACTGGAGGAGCTGTTGGGAATACACAGGAGTAGAGTTAGAAGCAGGACTGGGTTTTTGTAAGCTGACTGAGGCTGGGTGCAACAAATCTGTCCATGTCTGCAGTATGGGTTGAACAAAGCTGAGCTTACACAAAGCCTGTCTGGTCAATGACTGCACTGCGTTTATACAATCTCTTAGTGTCTGTGGTGAACATGTGGAATAACGCTCCAGAAAGTAACCCACATCATCCTCTAATAACCACACCAGGGACTCTACCTGGTCTGCACTAAATGGTGGCAAAAATTCATCCCTGCATTCGGGGGAACCAGATGAAACCAACTCAGCACAAACCTCAATCAAAGGCTGCACCTCAGAGAACTCTGTGCCCTGATCTACTAGAACATGAGCGAGCCGTATACATTCTAGTAGTTGATCCCTGGGATACTCCTTCAGAGTTTGATAAGCATACTCCCTGTCATCAAACACTAGCAGATATAAATACACAACCTCATCCAGATCCATCCTTCCCAGCAACAAGCCAAGATGGCTTCCCTGTGCAGCCACTTCTGGTCAGGATTGGCCTTGGTGTAATGTCAGGGCTCCCAGGTGTGACCAGAGGTGTGTGGCTGACGCAGGGAAACGCAGACCTCAGATATGTTATAAACAATATAATTTATTAACACTAACAATACAAACATAAACGCAGTGCAATACTAAAACATAATACAGTGCAAACCAAACCAAACCAAACCAACCACCCACAGATAACAGTACATACAAGCAAGCGTCGTCAGGCAGGCCGGGTCAATATCAATAGGGCAGGTAGGTACAGGGGGAGCAAGCGGAGATTGGTCGGGGTCACAGGCCAGGTTCAGCAGGTAGCAAGCAGCGTAGTACAGAGGGTCAGGCAGAGGGATGGTCAGGGTCCCAAGCCAGGGATCAGAACAGGTAGCAAGCAGCGTGGTACAGAGGGTCAGGCAGAGGGATGGTCAGGAGCGAGCCGGGATCAGAGCAGGAGAAGTCAGCAGCGGTTCAGAAACAGGATGCAGGACAGAAACAGGATACAGGGCCCAGGACAAACACAACACCAAGGCAGAGTCTGTGGGTCTGGCCATCCCTTAAATACCCCAGCATAATCAGTTCCAGGTGTTAGCTGGCTGCAAAGTTGAGTCTCTGATTGCTGGGAGCATCCGCTGGCCAGCCCTGGTACTGCAGATCAAAAGGCAGGTGAGTCCCACCATTGCTGGCCAGTCCATTCCTGACAGGTACATATCTCCTGGAGCAGTGTCAGCCCCCCAGGCACTTGTATGCAAATCCCTTGGCTAGTAGCCTTGATGATGAAGAAAAATGATTCATCATCTGACCTTTGAATGTGTTCAACTGAACCTCGGGGAACCAAAACCAGGTGTGTTCGCTGATCCCTACTGTCAAGCAATCTATGTCTGGGGGTAGATGAGACTGCCTGTGAGATGTCATTTCCGAGCCAGGCACAGACGTCACTTGTTCACATATGACGGTTCAATAAAGTTGAAGGTTTTAGTCAGAGGCTGTTGGACTCTCAGAGGTTTATTGGAGGAATCAACTTGTGTGTGAAACCTCATGCGGTTCACAGACCACAAAAGTGATGATGGACAGATCTTGGGTGGGGGGGAGAATTAGAGGAAAAGGTCATAGGAAAACATATAGGACTGGCCTGTTTACATAGTACAGTATAGTATAGTATTTTGTTAAGCATATAATGGTAAAAGTACCCTCTACTTCTTCAATTATTGTTGTTCTTTCCTTCCTATTCCCTTCCTTTTCAGTGTTTTCTATCCTGCTAGTAGTTCAATTTTCAGTCTTCAGGTGACAATGCTTCCTGAGCATCTTCCTAAGGAGAAGTGTTGTCACCCTAAGATGTGTACTCCTATTGCTCCCAGTAGACCGATATCTAAAGCATAAACCTCTTGCCTTCACTCCGAAGTGAATCTTTAAGAACTGCACAAGAGACCTAACCCTTTGTGAGATGGGGAAACAGCCCTCATTGTTTGAACACTGTTTGTGTGGAAGTAAATTAATGTTTTGACTGACATTCTGCGGTTTAGCCACAAGATGTCACTGTTTTTCTAACACAGACTCAGACTGCATAGATATTTGTATATTCATGAAGAGGTGGGGTTTTGCACTCAGAGTTGGAGTTTAGTGAACAGGAAGAGAAGACTTCAGCCATGTTTTGAACGATGCTGAATGAAGGGGCCGTGTGAGCTGAGAATCTGATGACATCCAGTTGTGAATGCGTCCCTCAGTAATCAAAGCTGCAGCTGAGTGAAGCTGATGAGATTGCTGCCAGGAATGCTGATGAGATTGCTGCCAGGAAGCTGATGAGATTGCTGCCAGGAATGCTGATGAGATTGCTGCCAGGAAGGCTGATGAGAGCAGAGGACCTAAGCAACATATACAGCAAGATCGCATGCTTGTTGGAGAGACATTTGTTCTGTTCAGAGTCACCAGCGGATGGAAAGCAGACCTGGGTCGGTAAGATCGTGCACGCACCTCATTTAAGTGTTGGCGCCTTGAGACTGAGTCCAGGCCTATAGTTAGTTAGTGTCTCTGTTTGTGTCAGGCCACAAGTGTTGTTACTGATTATTGGAAGGACTCCACAACTTAAAGTGACATTTCACATTGGAGAGCTGATAAAATCCTACAAACTCAAGCCAGACTGGCATTTTGCTCAGAAGGAATACTCAGGCACGTGCTACAGGACCAGTTATGGGAGGGGGAATACTGTAGATTTGTGTAGGATTGTAAGCTGTTGTGCTGCACCGCAGGCTAGCCCATACCGTACACCCATACACTGATTCCTGCTCTTTTAGGGTAATAACAGGTAAGGTGTGGCAGCTTAGTTGTGCCCCCAGTAGGTAAATTACTTCACTTTCTACCTTCATCCATCAGAAGGCGCCGTGCTGTGCAGCACAAGGGTCTCAGCCTTTGGGCTGGGTGTATGTAATTGTATTGTATGTTTCCAGCATTTGTGGTTGTGTTTATTTGCCACATCTAAGTAAAATTCTGTTGTGGCAAAAGCTGGTGTTGGGGTTGCTTTCCTCGTGCGTGACTTCACTGTATGCTGGGGAGCCCCCCCCGGTACACGGCTTACACCTTCCCTACTGCCTCAAAAACAAACAAGCAAACGAAAAAAAAAGATTTGGCTAATGGATAAGTTAGCCACAATGTATGAAAAGGTTTGGTAGGGAAGTTAGATTGTAAGCTCTGGAACAGAGGCTAATGTGACATGGTAATGGTCTCAAAATTACAGAACATGGGCCAAATGGGGCCCTTTACTTGCCTTTATGTCTCCCACTCATACCAATGATGGGACACCCTTCCTACAACTGACACCAACAATGGAGCACTATTTCTCTCACTAATACCAATGATGGGGCATTATTTACTCTCACCTGTGCTGGGGCATTTCCTACTCCAACTGGTCACAGTCTGCCCCTCCCTAAAGTCTGAAGGAGAGCAAAATGGCCCTTTGCTTAGAAAGACTGGAAACCCTTGATTTAAATAATTGAAATAATGACATTGTACTGGTGTTCTAGGTTTGTTGTTGGGACTTTAGCATAATTTTGACAAGTTGGGAGTGCAATTTGACACCCAGGTTTCCCTAGTCTTCTGTTCAGATTTGCACCATTGGGTTCAGGTTTGTTAAAACTTTATGTGAAAGATCTGCAAATACCAACCATATCAAATTGCCTGTTCTGTGAAAATCATGAGAAATGTGATGCTGCACTTACAGTATGTAACATTTGTTTATATGTGTGTACGTGAATTTCACTCGAGCGCAATCCACTTTTCTAAAGGTCAAAACTGTTTATACAAAGAGCAGCTGAATCTGTCCTGCATAGGTACCAATTAGTTTTATGGGCGAAGTGACATTTCTCAGCCACTGCTGACCACATCTACAGGCACTGATAAATTTTCAGTGCCATTTTGAGTTTTTAATATATATATTTTACTGAAAGAGCAACATGGTGATAGACCACTGTAAACGTTATAGTAGTACCCCACTACAAAATACCTACCAGCCAGTCCTCCCAGTCATGCACTAAGGTGAAGGCATCTGACAGGCTTTGTTGAGTAATCACTGAAGAGGCTGATCCAGCAAACAGTGTTGCCATCTTGAATGAAAACTCTTAAATTTTTTTTTAGTTTTTTTAGTTTGAAAGCTTAACAATCATGTCTGCACATAAAACAACACAAAGCTAATGACATGTAAAAGATTGGTCCCTAAACTTGCTTTCTGAATGATTCAAACTCCAGTTTGCACTCAAAGTTTGGCCCACTGCCACTAGCAGCTCCATTTTTTATCATCATAGCAACTGAGGGAATTTTCATATTACTCAGGAGGTAGATAACCAACATATTAAAGTTGTAGATGGAAAGTAAAGCTGAAGAGATACAAAGAAAGGACCTTTTGTGCTTTATCTCAAAATTTATGAACATCATTTTAATGGTGACTCTTAGGCAAGACATACAGTAGATGCAATTTTGTTTCCCGCAACCACGGGTTGCAGAAAAGAAAATCACTTGTTGATGGGGGGGAATCCCTCCCACGAAGCTAATTTGTTCTGCCCCCTGGGAGCCTTCCTGGCTGGCAGAACACAATGATTAGTGCTATAGCCACCAGCAGTAATCGTATGTAAAAAAAAACAGACAGGCTGGTTTTACTGAAGTTGATCGATCAAACGTCTTCAGAAAAACCAGCCTGCCCATAGATGGCTGGTTTCATCTGAACTGGCCGAGATTCAATCCATCTATGGCCAATGTAATTCCATTATCTTCTCTCTGAATCCTCCAGTACACACGTCTATAAATAAACAGAGAGATACACAGTGAGATATGATGACTAACCTGACTTTCCTCTACTTCGCCCCCTGCTCTGGGGACATGGTCAGTTTCACAATATGATTGGATGCTTCTTTTTTAAAGGTTGATTTCTAACACAAAGAGGGTTCAGGATTGGTGGAATACCCAACAGTAGCATACTGTATCTCAAACCCAGCATTCCCTGCATGGAGCCCAGACTTCCCCTGTACACAGCAGATAGAAGTGGCTTCCATTACAAAAGATGTTCCTCTGTGTTCGCTGTACTAAAGCTTAGTA